AGAGTAAACACTGAATAAATGTTTGTGGACTAGACTGACTGACTGACATGCAGCACTCTAGTAAAATGATTAACTTATTTTGAGCCTTTTGGCCAATATGATGGACCTTAAGGTCCACTTGATTTTCTTTAGCTTTCGAGAGTTTATTTGAGCTGAAAAGATCTGAATTCAGTTACAATTACTCCAATGTCCTAGTTAGGAAATTCCAAACACCTGGGGAAAGATTGGGTTTTCTGCCTAACCTTACATTTATGTCTTCTGGCCTCTTTGTGATTGAGGCAAAATTTGGTTCACTGGAAACATTGGGATAATGAAACAGCAGATCATATTATAGCATCTGTGGGTAGAAAGGTATCAGGAATAGAAGTTACACAAAAAGCAGATCTTTTCTCTGGACTTTGCAAAGCCCAAATCTTCTCTGTGATGCCCCAGACTATGCCAAGGCCTCTATTTGTATCTTCGTCCACTGCCGAAGCTCAATCCTCCTGGCTCTTGCTCCTCTTTCTCCCCCTCCCATGATTCTGAGATAGCTTCTCCCTTTTATACAAAGTGCTTAGGGAGTGTGACCCAGTGCTTATATGGTAACTTTGATTTATTCTTAGAGGTGTACAGGCCTGTTCATACTCACTTCAGATTGTTTTTATTCAATTTAAAATAAAAGGCACTTGAACCTAGTCAAAGTACCAGAGTCAAATGCAGTAGTTCTAACTTCAGAGAAGGGGAGAGACAGAAGACAGGCAGAGACAGAGACAGGGAGACAGAGACAGAAAGAGAGAGAGAGAGAGAGAGAGAGAGAGAGAGAGAGAGAGAGAGAGAGAGAGAGAGAGAGAGAGAGAGAGGAGAGATATTCACTGTTTTCTATATATCACCCCTTGCACTATAGTACTGGGATATAAATGATATAAATATAATCAATATAAATAGTCACTGCCCTAAAGGAGGTAACACTCTAATGGGGGAAGACAGCATATAAAGGAAAGCTGTAAGGGTGGGGAGGATAGAAGTGATGGACCTAGTAGCATGACTGGAGAGGTCTAGAAAACACTGTGGAACCTGTCAGATTGGCTGACATGACAGAAAAGGAAAATGACAAATGCTGAAGGGGATGTGGAAAATTGGGACACTAATGCACTGTTGAGGGCAGCTAGGTGTTGAAGTGGATAGAGCATTGGGCTTGGAGTCAGGAAGACTCGTCTTCCTAAGTGCAAATCCAGTCTCAGACACTTACTAGCTGTGTGATCCTGGGCAAGTCACTTAATCCTGTTTGCTTCAGTTTCCTCATCTGTCAAATGAGCTGGAGAAGGAAATGGCAAACCACTCCAGTATCTCTGGCAAGAAAACCCTAAAATTGGGTCACAAGGAGTCAGATAAGACTGAAAAATGATTGAACAATAATGCACTATTGGTAAGGTTGTGAACTAGTCCAACCATTCTGGAGAACAATTTGGAACTATGCCCAAAAAGGGCTATAAAATTGTGAATACCCATTGACCCAGCAATACCTTTACTAGGTCTGTATACCAAAGAGATCAAAGAAAAGGGAAAAAGATCTATTTGTACAAAAATATTTATAGCAGCTCTTTTTATGGTGGCAATGAGTTGGAAAGTGAGGGGATGCCCAGTGATTGGGAAATGGTTGAACAAGACGTGGCATATGATTGTGATGGAATTTGTTGTTGTTCAGAAGAAACTGAGGCAAGCAGGGTTGAGTGACTCGTTCAGGGTCGTGCAGCTAGTAAGTGTCCAAGGCCAGATTTGAACTCAGGAAGATGAGTTTTCCTGACTCCACTTCACCACCTACCTGCCATGTGATAGAATTTTTATCGTTGTTTAGTCATTTCAGTCCTGTCCAACTCTTTGTGACCCCATTTGGGTTTTTCTTCACAAAGATAATGGAGTGGTTTGCCATTCCTTCTCCATCTTATTTTACAGATAAGTAAACTGAGGCAGAGTTAAGTGACTTGCCCAAGGTCACACAGCTGGTAAATATCTGAGGCCAGATTTGAACTTAGGAAGATGAGTCTTTCTGACTCCAGGCCTAGCACTCAATCTACTTTGCCACCAAGGTGCCCTTATGTAATGGAATACTATTGTGCTATAAGAAATGAAGAGCAGGGTGGTTTCAGAAAAACCTGAAAAGACTTATATGAACTGATGTAAAGTGAAGTGAGCAGAACCAGGAGAACACTGTACACAGTTACAGCAATATTATGTGATGATCTACTGTGAAAGACTTAGCGATTCTGATCAAGACAATGATCCAAGACAGTTCCAAAGGTCGTGTGTTAAAAAATGTTGTCTACCTCCAGAGAGGAACTGATGAGCTCTGAGTACAAATTGAAGCAGACTTTTTCTTTAACTTTATTTTTTGTTTGTTTGTTTTGATCTGTGTATTTTTTTGCAACCTGGCTAATATGGAAATATGTTTTACATGACTTCACATGTATAATCAATATCATATTGCTTGTCTTCTCGATGTGTGGGGGAGGGACAAGTGGGAGGGAGAGAATTTGAAACTCAAAATTTTTAAAAATGAATGTTAAAAATTTTTACATGTAATTGGGAAATATTTAATGAAATAAATCCTCTCTCTCTCTATATATATATCTATATACACATCTATCTATGTATCTATCTATCTATCTATCTATCTATCTATCTATCTATCTATCTATCCTCTCTTTCTCCATACACACACACACCTATCTATAACAGCACTATAAGGCCTGGAACCAAGCGAGATAAGGCCAAAGCTGGCCTATTAGAGTCCAAGGTGGTTACAGGGACAGAGAACAACTTTCTGATAGGGAAGGAATGGAGGTGATACCTCTAAGGGAGACAACCTCCCAAGGCAGTCTATTCCATGGATGGACAGCTCTACTTTTTAGGAATTTTTCCCTTTAGGTCAAGGTTAAATCTTTCCTTTTCTTTCTATTTTTTTTTTTTTGGCTAGGCAATGGGGTTAAGTGATTGCCGAGGGTCACACAGCTAGTAAGTGTCAAGTGTCTGAGGTTGGATTTGAACTCAAGTCCTCCTGACTCCAGGGCCAGAGCTCTATCCACTGTGCCACTTAGCTGCCCCCATCTTTTCTTTTTAACTCGAATCCTTTCTCCTACTTCTGGTTTCTGGAACCAAGCAGAACCATTCCATCCCTCTTCTAGAAGACAGCCCTTGAGATATCTGACCCCAGCTATCAAGTCTTCTTGACATCTTCTCTTCTTCAGACTAAACATCCCCAGTTCTGTCCTCATGTCCTATGAGCTTGAGGCCTTTCCCTAGCCTGGTTGATCCTCTGGCATTGAGAACTGCCCATGCTCCTCCAGATGTAGTCCCATACACAGAATGTCCAGTGCTTGGGGACAGGGACCGTTTTTTTGTGTTTATCTTTGTGCCCCCAGGCAAGTCAGCAAACATCCATTCAATGCCTACCTTGTGCTAAGCTCTGTGGATAGAAAGGAAGGTAAAAGGATGATCTTTGCTCTCCAGCAACTCCCAGTCTGCACTGGCTAGCTCATAGAAGGCACTAAATATGGTTTTTGTTGATTGGAACTTATGATCACATCCCTAGTTCATACACCCTAAGGTCAATGTGTTTTCTCATTCATTTCCCTACTTTCTGTTACTTCAGGTCAGCGGAACAAGGCCTGGCCATCTACAAGGCCTTTCCTGATTGCCCCAGCTGCTGATGCCTCTCCACCCCCTACCCCTGGTATCACCTTATAGTCATTTATGTATATATATTTTATACACACTTGTATGTCTACCTGTTGTTTGCCTCCCATGGGTAGATTTCAGACATTCTTATGGAGCTGGGCATGTGCGCAGGCCACTTTTCCTTGGGTTCCCTGTTTGTTCAGGTGACTTGTCAAAAGATCATTCACCGAGCATGGGAACCAGCAGTTTCTGCTGCCCGTGACTGGGTGTTTGTCAAAGAGGACTGGCCACTGAGTATCACGGCAGGACAGATTGTTTTGGACCGCCCATGTCCATGGGCTCCGAGGTGAAGAAGCGCCCCAGGCTCTTTCTTGGAGATTCCGCCTTTTCCCTCTTGAACCCCAGGCAACGGGGCAGTGAGAGCGTCAATGACATGGCAGGAGCAACGCGTCCCTTGTCTAGTCTGAGATGGGGCCTCAGGACCCTGGCGGCCCCTCCTGCTCTTTGAGGTGATGGAATCCCAGTGCAGAACGGGGCAGACTTTCGGACTCGGCCAACGTGAATTGCCTTATCGTCGCAATGGTTTAATTTCTTTTCTTTTCTTTTTTTTTTCTTCCATTTTCCAATGGAGTGAAGTGGGAGGGAGGAAAAAGGAATGTCTGTTAGTTGAAAACGATCCCTGGATGACTTCGGAGTCCCTGCCACCCTCCGGGAGCGAGGGGCTGTCTGAGCTCCCTCCGGGTCGCGCTCTGGGGACCCTTCCCCAAGGGGGCCGGGGCCACTGTCCCCCCCGGGGCCGGCCAGCGCCCGAGCGCTCCGGCAGACCACAGCGACCTCCAGCGGTCCCCGGTAGCAGCACAGTGGCCGGCGGCCGGGGGCGGAGAAGGGGGGGCGTGCCTCCTGACCACCGGCAGCCACTCGCGTCCGAGGGAAGGAGGGGTTCCCGCTCCCCCCCCCCGCCCCCCGCGGCTTCCCGCGAGATCCTGCTCTGCGCGAGCTGGGCCTCCGAAAGAGAGGGAGACCCTCCCCCACTCGACCGGCCCCTCCCGCCCCTCGCGCCGGCCCGGGCTCCCCCTCCTTCCTCGGCTGCCCCTCACTTCCTGCTGCTGCCTCACGCGGGGAGCGAGCGGAGCGCAGCGCAGCGGGCAGCGGCGGGCAGCGGCGGGCAGGCGGGCGGGCAGCGGCGGGAGGCCAGCGCCCGGCGAGCCCGCTGCCAGCCTCCGCGCGCGGCGGTGGCCAGCGCGGCCGGGGCCGGGGCCAGGGCCAGGCGGGCCGGCTCCGCGCCTCTGCCCGGCCACCGGGCCCGGGGCCGGCGCGGCCGCTTTGTCTCGGGCGTCGGTCCGGGGGGCCGCGGGGCTCCCCCCGCCCCAGGGACGCCCCCTCCCGGGGCCGGCCCGGGGCCCGGGGCGGGGGGAGGGGGCCGGCCACGATGGGCCCCAAGCGGAGGCAGCTGACGTTCCGGGAGAAGTCCTACATCATCCAGGAGGTGGAGAAGAACCCGGACCTCCGCAAGGGCGAGATCGCCCGGCGCTTCAACATCCCGCCGTCCACGCTGAGCACCATCCTCAAGAACAAGCGGGCCATCCTGGCGTCCGAGCGCAAGTTCGGCGTGGCCTCCACCTGCCGTAAGACCAACAAGCTGTCCCCCTACGACAAGCTGGAGGGGCTGCTCATCGCCTGGTTCCAGCAGATCCGCGCCGCCGGCCTGCCCGTCAATGGCATCATCCTCAAGGAGAAGGCTCTGCGCATCGCCGAGGAGCTGGGCATGGAGGACTTCACGGCCTCCAACGGCTGGCTGGACCGCTTCCGCCGCCGGCACGGGGTCATGACCAGGAACGGGGTGACCAAGAGCCGCTCGCAGCCCTCGACCCCTGCCCAGCCGCCTGCTCTTCCCCGGGCCCCGGCCTCGGCGCCAGCGGCAGATGGCGGCGGAGGTGGCGGCGGAGGCGGCGGCCGGAGGTGGTGGGAAGAGCAGCTGCCCGCACTGGCCGAGGGCTACGCCTCGCAGGACGTCTTTAATGCCACGGAGACCTGTCTGTGGTACAACTTCCTACCTGACCAGGCCCCTGCCCTCGGAGGGGAGGCCCGGCCCAGCCCCCGGCGGGGCACCGAGAGGCTCATTGTGCTCCTGTGTGCCAACGCAGACGGGAGCGAGAAGCTTCCCCCGCTGGTGGTGGGCAAGCTGGCCAAGCCCCCGGGATCCCGGGCTGGTCTGCCCTGTGACTACACTGCCAACCCCAAGGGTGGCGTCACTGCCCAGGAACTAGCCAAGTACTTAAAGGCCTTGGATGCCCGCATGGCAGACGAGTCCCGCAGGATCCTGCTGCTGGCCAGTCGGCCAGCCGCCCCAGCCTTAGACATCTCCGACTTGCGGCATGTTCAAGTGGCCTTCTTCCCATCAGACACCCTTCAGCCCTTGGAACGGGGTGTTGTCCAGCAGGTCAAGGGTCACTACCGACAGGCACTGCTGCTCAAAGCCATGGCCGCCCTGGAGGACCACGACCGTTCCCGGTTGCAGCTGGGCCTCACCGAAGCCTTACACTTTGTGGCTGCTGCGTGGGGGGCCGTGGAGCCCGCAGACATAGCTGCCTGCTTCCGAGAGGCCGGGTTTGGGGGTGGCCCGGGACCAGACATTGATGTGACTCTCAAGAGTGATGAGGAGGAAGAGGAGGAAGATGAGGAGGAGGACGACAATGATGAAGATGATGAGGATGAAGAAGAGCAAGGCGAGGAAGAGGGCGAGGAAGAGGGAGAGGAGGTAGAGGAAGGAGAGGAAGAGGAGGAAGAGGAGAGCTCATCAGAGGGGCTAGAGGCAGACGACTGGTCCCAAGGTGGTGGTGGGGCAGGTGGGAGTTTTGTGGCTTATGGAACCCAGTATGAGCAGGGGGGCCCTGCTGTTCAGCTCCTTGAGGCTGGGGAGGACTCGGAGTCAGAGAGCGATGAGGAAGATGAGGATGACGATGATGACGATGAGGATGACGATGACGACGACGACGACGACGACGATGAAGTGCCCGTGCCCAGTTTCGGTGAGGCCATGGCATACTTTGCTATGGTCAAACGGTACCTGACCTCCTTCCCCATCGATGACCGGGTCCAGAGCCACATTCTCCACTTGGAGCATGATTTGGTCCATGTGACCAGAAAGAACCACGCCAGACAGACATCATCCCGAGCCCTGGCACACCAGAACTTAGCCTGATAAGCTGTTTTTTTTGTTTTGTTTTGTTTTTTTTGGGTCCCTGGACACTGGCCGTGGTACATCCCAGTCCTGACATGTGTATGGGATTTCCAGGGCAGCTCTTTCAGGGACCAGGTGGTGATGGTGGTGGGGAACTGTTTCCAGCATCGGGGGTTCATCCTCTTTAGGTAATGCCCCACACCCCTGCACCCCTTGGGAACTGGGCTAGGCCATGTGTCTACCTGGGAGCTAGGCCTGGGAGCCAGGCTGGAGTCAGCCCAGCCTCCTTCCTGTTGCCTTTCCCTTACCCTTCCTTCCTCACCTTTTCCCTGCCTCTTTCCCCAGCTGCCCCCAGGGCTAGGATGCCTGCTGTGATTGGCAGGGCTGTGGAGAGGGTGGAGAGGGTCCCTTAGGAGCAGGCCCCACCCCAAAGTGCCCTACAAATACTGACCAGCAGGGTCCCATCTGCAGGAGCAGCTGGTGGAAGGGGAAGGGGTCAGATCGAAGACATTTTGCTTGGTGGAGGGTGCCAAGGCCTGTAGGCCCCCCCCCCGCCCCGTCCCTTTGGTCTCTCACCTTTCACACTCTGCATGGAGATTCAGCACTAGGGAAGGGGGGCCGTTCCTAGTAGGGTTCCTGGGGAAGGGGGCTCACAGGGGCTCGGAGAGGTGGCCCCTGAGAAAGCACTTAGAAACAGCATGGCAGCAGGCCCAGAGCTGCAAACCTTCACCAAGCCTGCCTGCCAGGGAATCTTTTTTTTTTTTTTAAGTGCCCATAGGGCTCCCTCGGCCCCAGAGGAAAGTTTTTTGAGAGAAGCACAGTGCCCGCCTCCCGGGAGTTGGTTTCCAAACTGCTCCTCCTTGTCCTCTGATAGATTTTCTTTTTCAAACCAAGGGCTCGTTTCTTCCTGCCCCTGGACTCCTTGTCTCCCTTGAAGGGCCCCATGGCCCGCCGATGCAGGGGAGACTGGCTGAGTCCCGAGCATTTCTTTCCTTGAGGTGTGAGGGGAAGGAGGTGGGGGGCTCTGTTTGTCTCTTGGGCACGGTCAGGATCCCAAAGCCGCCACATCTTGCCTCGTCCCCCATGCTCCCCCAGCCTTCTCCCTCTGTATGGTACCTTCCCTAAACTGTTACAAGCTGACAGGGGGATGGGGAGGTGTCATTACCTGCAGGGAGGGGGGGGGTGGTCCCTGGTCGGGTCAAGCTATTCCAGCTATCTCTTTTCCTAGTCTGAATTCAATAAACCGTTCCGATCCCCTTTTGCCGGGGGTTGGGTGTTTTGACAGCTGAGGGGTGATGTCCTTTGTGTCTTGGGCTCTTTTTCTGGGGATGCTCCTCTCCCACCTCAGTCCCCCTCTCCGTGGCCATGCTGCTAGTGGTGGAGATCCAGGAGTGTAAGGTTCGAGGAGGGAGGAGGGCTGCAGCTGTGTGGGAAAGCTGGCTCGAGGTTGTATTTACTATGGCTGAGTCCATTCTGGAGTTTCATTTGAGGTCAAAAGGGGAAAGTAGTTGCAAATGCCCTCTGCCTTGAAGGGTGGGGATGCAAAGCAGCTAGGTCTGGGTTAAAGTTAGGAAAGGCTGAATGAATGTCTGGGTATGAGTAAAGAAGCCTGGCTTCAGAAGACCTGAGTTCACGACTTGTCTCTCTGTCACTTATTCTCTGTGTGACCTTGGGCAAGTCAAGAGTGTTATAGCTGAGCAGGGAGGAAGGGAAGAAAGATGGAGTGCCCCCTGAGTGTGGTAGACAGGAGCCACAGTTGGCTTTGTGTATGGGCATCTGCGGGGGCAAGGAAATCCCCATCCCCATCTCCCCCATGGGCCTATCATAATCTTTGAAATTTTGCCATTAGAGATTCATTCCTTTAGCTAGTGCAGGGTTTTCTGTTAGAATGCAAAAATCCCTCCGGAGCCTTTATCACTCGATAACATCTTAGCACTGGAGAACAAAGACCTTCTGGTAATGAGACCAGGGAGGATAGTTGCTAAGTTAAAGGGGCCAGAGTCAAAGAGAAGTGTGAAAGGTAGGTGGGAGCGTGGGGAAGACCTTCAGGTGACTTCAGAGGATCGTTCCACTTCAGACTAGATCCATCCAGCGGCCTGGACACATCCTTGTGGTGCCTGGCCAGAGGGTGAGACTTGAGGAGGGAATGAAGGCTTCTGGGAACTAAGAATTTTAATATTTGGGCCAGGGACTCTGCTTTTTTTTTGTCAGTGGGAATTTACTAAGTAAGCACTGATTATACGTGTACCAGACCGCTGTGCTAAGCCCCATGCAGAGAATGGCAAAAACAGTCCCTGCTCTCAAGGAGTGCCTGGTCTAATGGGGAGACCCCACCTACCATCTAGGAAGAGGGAAAATCTATCCGGAGGACATAAGAGCTAGGCTGGAAGAGACATTTGACGTCCAACCCTTCATTTTTCCAAATGAGGAAACTGAGGGCCAGACAGACTAAATCTCTTGGTTGGGGTCACAGGGCCAGATTCGATGCTTTTCCATTTGACAGGTTATCTGTTGAGTGCCCACTGTGTGCAAGGCTTTGGGTTAGACACTGGGAATCCAAAGATAAAATGTGCGCATCCTTCCGCGGTCTGAGTTCTCTAGTCCACCAACCAGGCGGCCCCGTTGTCTTACCCGTAGGAAGTCTACGGGAGGAGGAGGGTGGGGGATGGGGAGAAGGGGTTGGGCATAACCAACCCCTTTGGTCCGGGCTCTCCCTGCCAAAGTCCACTGGAAATTGGACTCTCCTGTAACCTTGTTAATCAGTCTGGGAGCTCCAAGGACTTATTCTTTTCTCTGCCCTTGGGTGGTGGCCTCTGGTTTGGACCTGCCGGTTCACTGCCCTCCTCTTTCTGGTCTAGAGAGACAGAGAAAGTCACAGCTTTAGAATCAGAGGTCTTGATTTTGAATCTAGCCTCCGCTACTTAGTGACCTGGGCTAAGTCACTTTCCAGACTCAGTTTCCTTATCTGTAAAAGAAAGGGGCTGAATCGGATAATCTCTAAGGTCCCTGCTCTTCCCAACCCCCCAGGCTCTCTGCACCTACTCTGGGGAGGCCAGTGGGGGGTCAAGGGCTGGGCAGGAGGCCAGGCCGCTCCCTCTCCCAAACCGGTTTGCCTGCTTCTCTGGTGCTACTTGGCAAGTTTTCAGGGGTTTGTCCCTTGAACAGGGTTCTGTTCCCTTCCATTCCCTGGTAGATGTGCACCCTGTGGTTGGGAGTGGCTAGAATCCTCCAGACAACTGCCCCCCTTCCCCGATTCCTCCCCATCATGGTGACTTCAGGCTCACTCAAGGAGGCTTCTTGGTTGGGGCTTCTGGGATTATAAATGTGGGATCATTTAGAGCTGAGATCAAGGGACGGCAGAAGTCATCTGATCCACATCCCGAGACAGGGAGGCCTTGTTCCCTCATGTCCCAGGATCCTAGATCAGGAGCTGGTGGGCTGCAGTCCCCTCATTTTACAGATGAGGAAACTGAGGCCCAGGAGCTTAAGCACAGGAGGAGGAGTGTGAAGAGCTCGGGACTGAGGAGGTTCAGGGAATAGTTGATTTAGAGCTAACCTCAGAGGCTGCCTAATTCCAACCCCCTCATTTTACTGATGAAGAAACTGGCTGGGGGAAGGAAAGTGATTTGCTTAAGGTCACCCTGGTAGTAATCATCTAAAGTAGAAGATGATTCTAGTTTTCTTACTTTAGAACCTTAGCTCTTAGCCCTGGGCCATGCCTCCTAGTTTTGCGGATAAGGAAACCGAGGTGGAGATGTTAGATTGCTGTATTCAAGGTTACATAACCTAAGTCATAGTGGAGCTGAGATTTGAACTCTTGCTCTAGAGTGGGTCAGTACCAGCCCTGCTTTTGATGACCTGTCCTAGGAAACGTTCCTGGACTGCCACCAATCCGTGAAGTTGGTCAGAGACTTTGTAAGTGTCCATTTCTGAAACTAAGCTGGTGATCGGGTCATTGGCAAAGGCATTGACTTTATAGGCAGCTCTTTCTGGGAGCTCTGGGACTTCCCATTTTCAGCTGGGAAAGAGGAAGCAGGAAGAAACAAAGGGCCTCTCTTGGGGGCCAGGTTTCTGTGGTTTAGTAGCATAGTGGGAAGAGCTGGAGATGAGACCTGGGTTCGAATTCACCCTGATACTGTATGACTGTGCCAATCACTTACCTCTCAGCTGGGGCTTCCTCTGAACATGAGGGTAATATTATACCACCCATCCCATAGGGTCGTTGTGAGGAAATACTGCATACTCCTGAAGCCGCTGTCGAAGTGTGAGTTATTAGGACTGTTCCTGCCCAGCCCCTGACCCTTAGAGGCTCTAGGGTCATCCTGGGGGGCTGGGGAGCAGGTATAGCAGTCGCCTGCTTTCCCCTTTCCCAGCTTTGGTTGATTTGAAGGACTAGGAGTGTGATGTCATGGGAAAGAAAATTAGATTTGGCATCAGAGGACCTGGCTTCAACCAAGTGGCCCTAGCCAAGGTAATATGGGGTAACAGATAGGGCAGTAGACTTGGTGGCAGAAAGACCTGGGTTCAAATCCTGCCTCAGGCAATTATTAATGACAGCTGGTATTTCTGTAAGGTGAGGTTTGCAAAAATCCCTCAAGAGCCTTTATCAGTCAACACATCTTAGCCCTGGAAAAACAAGGTTGTGGTGATAATGAGACCACAGAGGATTGTTGCCAAGTTGAAGGGGCCAGAGTCAAGAGAAGAGTGTGAAAAGCTAATGGAGGTTTCCTGCCCTGGGAGGTAGGTTATCATCCCTATTTTGCAGATGAGAAAACTGAGGCATATAGAGGTTAAGTGACTTGTCCAGAATCACACTCCACGTCTAACCCTCTTATCTACCGAATCACCTAGCTGCTTCTAGGTTTTCTTAGCTGTGGGACCGAACAAGTCATTTCTATCTGAGCCTCAGTTTCCTCAGCTGTGAACAAAAGGGCTTAAGACTAGTCCCAACCAGCTCTAAATAGGTTTTTAATAGGGATCCATTTTAGGGGATCTCTGAATTTGTGTGGGAAAGAAATTACATCTTTATTTTTAATAACTTTTAACTGAAATTTAGCATTCCCTTCAGTTATGAATTTAACAAGCCATTATTTTGAGGAAGCGTCCATAGGCTGTCCCAGAACTGACGAAAAGCATGTAGGGCACAAGATGGAGTTGGCTTGTGCGATCGATCGGAAAACCCAGGCTGAAAACGTAGGCCCGATTGCTGGGATCCCGCTGGAACCGCAAGACACTTGTATGAGGTAGGTAGTGTATCATCCCCATTTTATTGATGGGGAAACTGATTCATAGAGAGGTAGAACGACTTAATGTGCATATGTATAGTTTTGAGCTTGAAGGCAGGAAGACCTGAATTTGAATCCTGTCTCAGACGCATTAGCTCTGTGGGCCCTGGGCAAGTCATGTAGCCACTGTTTGCCTCAGTTTCCCTGTTTGTAAAATGAGGACAATAATAGCACCTACTTCCCAGGGTTCTGTGAGCATCAAATGTGGTAGTGGGTGTAAAATGCTTTAAAAACTTTAAATCACTGTATAAAGACCAGCTGCTATGATGATCTCCTGGGATCGCTGGAAGAGATCTTAAGGGGTCACCCAATCATGGAATCTTAGGGTTCACAGGAAAGCTAGTCCAAGCCACGTCTGCATCTTTTCTACACTCGCCAGCAACAGGTGACGTTTATGTGAAAGCCTCCTGAAAGGCAGACCTTTAGAGGCGGCCCATTCCACTTTGGGGCGGCTGTGATTGGTAGGAATCTGCCCCTTTTGCCAAATGTGTCCCCTTATCAAAATATGGTGAATCCAATGGCCTTGGAGGGCCTGTGTTCAAATCCTGACTGGCTTGTCAGCTCTGTGACCTTCTCCCTCCTTAAGTCTCCGCATCCAAAAAGAAAAATGGTGGCACTAGACTCGCTGAGGGTGGAAGGGCCCTCCAGCTCCAGTCTGTCAGCCCTCTGGAGCCAAGCTGAGGTAGTGGCATCCTCTTCGTTTTACAGAGGAGGGCACTGAGGCCCAGTGAGAGCCAGAATTAGAACCTGGCTCCGTTGGCTCCGCTAGGAAGCAGTGGAGCCAGTCCAGGTCTTCTGAATGTATTGGCGGCTCTTCCAAGGCGGGGGAGGAACTTTCTGTGGAAAACAGGAAGGCCTTGAATCCTGGGATTGTATGGGGGAGGGCTGATTTGGGGACCCTCTCTTCCCCTAGGCCAGGAGGTTTTGGCTTTCTAAAGTCCCTCCTTTCTGGAGTGAAAACTGCCCCTTATCGACCCTACCCTGAGTGTGCCCCACATTCCAAAGTCCCCCAGCAAAACTTCCTGCCCCGAGGCATCACATTCTGCTAGAGCTCTAGATTAAGAAACCACATTGAGGCAGAAATGCCTGGCCTGCTAGGCCACAGGAGATAGTCACTTTTAATGAATCTCTAGCGGTAGAATGGGGTAGATGGGCTTTTTGGGTAGGTCCCTCCTAGGTTCTTCTCTGCTAATGCTTGTCAACCATCCTCACTTCTCCCGCCTCAGGAAGTCAGTAGGTAACAAGAAAGTCACTCGGTTTCCATTTCTGACAGGGAGTACCGATTTCTGGTCTACAGAGTTGGCCCATCGTTTTTCCCTGAGAAAAAAGCCAACAGGCAGGTCCCACCCTGTCCCTCCTTTCTTCTCATGTGCTGTTCAGCTCCAGAGGAGCTCTATGCTTCCCCCTTGCTCTTCCCATGCTACTTTTTAGTTTCTGCCTACTGAATTCCCTTTGATAGGGGTTATGGAGGTGGTGACAAATGCCGTTTTTGAGGAGAGAGAGGTGGTTGTTCTGGGTCCTTTTCAGACTCCTGCCCCACGGCCAAACTGTGAACTTCAGACCATTTTCAGGGTTCCCTCCTAGTGCCCTCACTGCCCAGGCTTTCCTACTGAGGCATCCCCATTTGACCCCACCCCCTAGGGCAATTGCCCCACGTGTCACATCTTTACCTACCCTGCTCAGTTTCCCCATTTTACAAATGAAGGGGGATTGGGCACAAATTACCTCCAAGGTTCCTTCTAACTAAATTGTCATAAGGTCTCTCTCTCAGTTCTGATGTGCTCTCTTTACCAAAGTCCCTCTAGGCTCTGATGTTGCAAGCTCTAAGGCCACTCCTAGCTTGTCCATTCTGTGTTCTAAGGTCCCTTCCTCACCATTCTCTGTTTCAAGGTCCCCACTAGCCCTGGTGTTCTGTTTCCTATGTACTTTTCAGTTTGGACAATGACAAAGGATAATTTATGTAAAGGAATTTGCAAACTTTCAAGTTAGTCAATAAATATGAAGGTCCTAGTATGTGCCAGGCACTGTGCTAAGTGCTGGGGATACAAAGAAAGGCAGTTCCTGCCCTCACAGAGGTCACATTCTAAACATGCAAACAAGTTGCAGACCAGAGAAACTGGAGATAATCAATTGAAGGAAGGCACTAGAATTAAGGGAGGTGGGGAAAGGATTGCTGGAGAAGGTGGATTTTAGTGGGGACTTGAAGGAAGCCAGAGAAGCCGGGAGGCAGAGATGAGGAGGGAGAGCATTCCTGGTGTGGGGAACAGCCTGGGCAAAGTCCTGGAGTCGGGAGATGGAGTATCTTGTTCCAGGAATAACAAGGGGGCCAGAGTCTGGATCAGAGAGTACTCGGGGTGGGGTGGAAGGTGTAAGAAGCCTGGAAATGTTAGTCCTCCCCCTTCCTGGCCAGGCTCTAGGCAATTCCTCAAGACTGAGCTGCAGAGAAGGTGCTACCTGGTGTTGGTAAAGGGCGTTTGCTGTCCCCATAAAATCACAGGTATTAGTTATTTATTCATCATTATTCTATTACCCACCATCACCAAAATGCAGCCTCGTGTTCATCATCTCAGTGGTCTGTGCTTGCTGCCGGCGCTAAGCTGATATGTTCATCCATGTCAAGGCAATTAGGGTCGTCCATAGCCCAGAGGAGGAAAGCTCTAATGGTGGAATTTCAGGCACCGGGGATAAGCCAGTGGGGAAGGTTTTTTTTTTTTTTGAGGGGGAGGGAGAGTAGGGCTTCTCTTTTTCACCTGCCCTCCTTCCTTCAGCATCATGTAGCTGGTAACCCCTTGGATTTGGGTCAAAGCACTTGGGGTTCAATCCCCCTCTCTATAGGACAGTCTTGGCTTGGGCCGAGTCTTTGACGTCCCTCCTTGCTCCAAGTCCAAGGCTCGCCCCGCCTCCCTTGGCTTCCTTCCTTCCCATTGGTCGGGGCTCCGGGCAGGGGCGAGCACATCGAGAACTACAACTCCCAGGAAACCTCGGGGCTGGGGCAGCCGCCCCGGTTGCCATGGTTAACGTAAACAATATGGCCACCCCCAGGAGGGGTTCCAGGCTCGGGCTCAGCAGGCAGCGGCGGCCGCTGGGGACGGCAGCTGAACGGCCGGGGCTAGGGCTGGGGAAGGAACCGCGACCTGGGCGGGGTAGGAGGGCCGTGAGCGCTCATGGCGGGCGGCGTGGACGAGGAGGTACTGCACCAGCTGTACCTGTGGGTGGACAACATCCCCCTGTCCCGGCCCAAGCGGAACCTCTCGCGGGACTTCAGTGACGCAGGTGAGGCTGGGGGCTCTGGGGTGGGGGCGGGGCAGCATTCCAAGTGGGCGGGGCCGGAGCCAGGCGGGAGCTCCCCCAAATATGGGGACCACCCCTCCAGTTGGACCCCAGGAGACTGAGGCCTGAGCCTACCTCTGGTAGGCACCCCAAGAATCCCCCTCTTTCCCCAGCTGTTTCCAACTTCATTTTCTGAGCCCCCACCAGTTCCGCCCTGTTCTTTTCCTCATCCCTTTCCTTCCATTATCTTTCTCTCCATCCCTGACCCCCCCCATCTTTTCCCCCTCCATCCCCTTTTGTTCATGTCCACTCTCTTCTCCCTTTCCTATTGTCCATCCCTGCCCTACATTCCCATCCTTCCTTCTCTGCCGTCCCTCTCTCCATCCCTGCCCTCCATCCTTCCCATTTGTCTCTCTCATCCCATCCATTCTTCTGTCCATCTCCTTCATGCACCTTCTAATCACCTCTCCATCCCTGTCTTCTATTTCCCCTCCCCAGATCCTTCCTACATCCCTCTAGTCTATGCATCTACTACCCATTCTACTCTCCATCCTTCTCCCTTCATCCCAGTCCTCCATCTTCCCCTTCAGCCCTCTCCCTAACACCCATCCAACTCTCATCCCTTTTTCTTCTCCACCCTTTTCCCATCTCTCCATCTCTCTTCATCTTTGTCTTTGATCCTTATTATCCATCCATCTATCCATCCATCCATCCATCCATCCATCCATCCATCCATCCATCCCTCCCTCCCTCCCTCTCCTTCACCCCTCTGCCCATCTCCCCTGCAAGATGACTTCTGAGGTCCCTTCTAGCTATGATCAATGATCCTTGGATTCCTCTTTCCCCATGCCTGTCCTACCATCCCATTTCTCTATCCCTCTTTCCCCATCCCATTTCTCCCTCTTCTCTCTCCTCTGTCCTCCATCCCTCCCATCTCTATTTCCTCCCGACCGGTCCCTTGGTTGTCCTCTTCTTTCTCACATGCTCCCATTTTCATTCTTCAAGCCTAGTTTCTAAGGGCTCGGACGTGGTGCCCTTGAAAGTGGCTCAGACAAGCAAGGGTAGGGGGGAAGGGGTTGGGGACCTCCTTTAGCTTTTCACACTCTTCTTTGTCAGTTGACTGTTCTAGAGAGGCTGGGGCAGAGGAAATTCCACCTTGTGGGATCCTTCCCTGGGAAGGGAGAGCAGCCATGGTCTGACTCCTGGCCCGTTAAGCCTGTGGCCCGACCTAGAAGAGGGAGAACGGCCCTCATTAAGCTCTGTAGGTTAGTAGGACGTTTCCAGAAAACAGGGTGAAGTGAAAGTGCAGGGCCAGCAGGTGGCAGTGTCACCTCACTGCCAACCTCCCCAACCAATCACCGCCATATCAACACCGCACAGAAAGCTTTGACTGTTGTCCTCAACCTTTCTCTTGGTGTGTTGGGGTTGGGGTAGGCAGGAGAGGAGAGGGCTGTTCTCTGGCTGGGAGCTGCTGGGCTCCTGGGTGCCCAGTGACCACCTTGCCTTGCTCTTGCTACCCAGCTGGGGAGCCTCAGTTTCTCTATTTGTCAGTCTTGACATTACCCAGAGGATAATGCCTGCCTGAAAGAGTTGTCCCAGTTTTCTCTTCCTCCCACTCCTTTCCTTTCCTCTCCTTAACTCTTCTTTTTCTTTTTCCTCCAATCTTTCCTTTCTTCCTCCTATTTTGTTCTCTCCCTTTGCTCCATCCCCTATCTTCCTCTTCTTCCTTTCTCATTCCCCCCTCCAATCTTTTGCCTTGTTTCTTTTCTCTCTTTCTCTCTCTCTTTCTCTCTGTCTCTGTCTCTCTCTTTCTCTCTCTCTCTCTCTCTCAATATCTCTGCCCATTGGCCCTCTGTTTCAGCTCTTCTTTCCCCTCCTCATTTTTGTCCTTTAATCTTCTCCTCTTCTTTCCTCCCTCTCTTCCATGGGGTTCCCCTCTGTCTGCGTCCCTCCCCTTCACCTGTTTCTCCCCTTCACCTCTGTGTGTCCCCTCCAGTCCTGGCTGCTGAGGTGGTGAAGTTTTACTTCCCCAAGATGGTGGAGATGCATAACTACGTTCCAGCCAATTCCGTACAGCAGAAAATCAACAATTGGATTCACCTGAATAGGTAAACTTAGACGTCAGCTGGGAGGGGATTGTGGATGAAGCAGGAATAGGGTCAAAGGAGTTAGGACTTCTCCCTCCTTCTGGAGTGGACATTCCATGATAAAATTGTCATTCGGGTTTCTCTCAATCTCCCAGGATTCCCTGGTCACTCTCTCCCTGCCACCTCTGGCCTTCCACTGTCTGTTGTTAGAATCTTAGAGAAAGTCAACCCATTTGTCTCAGGCAAGCAAAATTGGGAAGGTACTACTGTTTCCTGGGTAAAAAAAATCAGAGGATGCATTTCAGAGCAAATTAGATTAAAAAAAAATCCATCTGGTATTTTGGATTATCTGGCCCCTATTAACAGTACAGAGGTCCACTATTTGGATTTCAAAATTTTTTTTTGTCTTCACAGCTAAATTAGGGACTGTTTTAGGCCCAACGGTCCAGCTTTGGAGAGTCAGCAGCATAGGGGTAGGGCATAGAGGGCCAGCCTTGGAGAGGGAAGACTTGGGATCTGGGTCCAAGTCTTGTCTCTGACCCGTCCTGGGCAAATCGCTTCACCACTCAATGCTTCAGGCAACTCTCCAGGGCCTCAACTTTCCGAGGAGCTGCTGATAGATTCCAGGAAGGAGTTTGCACACTGGAAGTTCCCCATAGTGATTTGATCTAAGTCCACCTGGGCCAAAAAAGACACAGCCTCATATGTGTTCTAGATAAGAGTCTGTTTTGTCTTAGAAGACTGTGGCTCTTTTGGAATGGCATACTTAAGCAAGTGTCACACCCCCAGAGATTAAAAAGGGACAGGAGATACCATCCTGTTACCTTTTTGTGATCTTGCCTGATGGCAGGAAAACTACCTGCTCATCTCTTTTTCCCACTGAAATGATAAATCATAAGCCACATTTTGTTTTTTATTTCAAGCCTTGTTTCACCCCCTGACCAAAGATGCAGCTGAAATCTATAGCTTTTTCTTTCCTTCCCCTAGAAGAAACTTCTCTCCTCTCCCTTAATCCCTGGCTTCCCAGAAGTGAAACTGGTTAAGTCATCCAGTTCTATTAAAAAAAAATCTATAAAAATCACCATGTAGTCAACTAATATTGAAGGCCTGTTTCTTTTTTAAAATTTAATTTTTACAATTAACAAGCTTTCATTTCCTCTCCCAGCACCTCCCCACGGAGGAAAAAAACAAACCAACCAGCCCTCATCACAGATATGCATAGCCAAGCAAAGCACATTCCTACATTGGCCACGGCCCAAAATGTCTGCCCCATCCTTCATCTTGAGTCCATCATCTCTCTCTATAAAGAGAGTGCTTCATCTGGTCCTGTTTTACAGGTTGGCACAACACCAGGAGAGAGAGCTAATGTACCAAATGAAAGATCTCGCCAGGCTAGAGCATTCTCAATCTAATAAGATGAAATTCAGTAGGAATAATTAGAATGTCTTCCATTTGGGTTCCAAAAAATCAACCTCACAAGTACAAGACAGAGGAGCCACCATCAGGCAGCAGTTTGTCTGAAAAAGAACGGGAGGTCTTAGTGGACTGCAAGGTCAATTTGAGTCAACTCTGTGTTGGGAATTGGGCCCAGGCCTGGGATTTCAATGGAATGGGGAATTCCCAGAGAATGAAAGTCCCACCACCAATGCAGGTTAGCGCCTCTTCTACACTTTATAAGGTTAGAGAATTGCCCCAGGCATTGAAAAGCTAAAAGATGAGCTCAGGGATCTCACGGCAAGGGCCAGTAAATGTGTCTGAGTCTGGGTTCCAATCCTGGTCTTTCTGGCTTTGAGTCCTGCTGTCTAACTGCTTCACAGTGGAATGTGGCAGCTGAAACAGCAAATCTGGTCGTGGACTGCGTTAAGAGCAGCGTCTCTTTGAGGTCTGAGCTGGTGGTCCTTCTGTTCTCTGCTGGCTTAGACCACCGTGGGAGTGCTGGGCTCCCTTCTGGGTGCCATTGTTTAAGAAGGCCATGAATAGCCCGGAGGGCAGCCGGGCGATGGAGGGACTGGAAGTCTGTGCCACATGAGGGTAAATTCAAAGAACTCCAGATGGTTAGCCTGGAGAATTGGGGGAGGGGGCAGGGAGAGAGAGAGTTTCAGGAATTTAGTGGTCCCCAGAGGGCAGGACCAGAAGCAATGGGGGAAAGGGATGAAGAAGTCAGTTGAGGCCTGATGTCAGGGAAAAAAAAAACTTTGGGGTTCAAAAACTCAGCTTTATAAGTGGAAGGTGGAGGAGCCATGATTAGGGAGCATTTTGCCTGAAAAAGAACTGGGGATCTTAGTGGGCCATCCAGCAATGATAACAATGAGAGTAGCCCAAAAGGAGAAAGGGTCGTTTTGGGTGCAGTGGATTCCTGGTCCTTGAAGACCCTCAGCCAGAGGCTGACACACTTGTCTGGTGTGTTGGAGCCGGGGTCCTTCCTTGGGCATGACTTGGGGTCCTTCCTTGGGCATGACTTGGACCGGAGGGCTGCTAAAGCCCTACATGGTGGTTTGGGTCCCTGGGGCCAGCCCCTTCCTTCCCCAGCGGCCAGTCTGCGTCCCTGTCCTTAGGCAGTCTCGATCTCAGCAGACAGGCGCTGAACGTGCTGGGCTTGGGCCCCTAGACTTGCAGGGCGTCCTCTGCTGGCCCCAGGATGCCTGCAGCTTTAGGATCTCTCCTACCTTTTTTTTTTTTTTTTTGGTGAGGCAATCGGGGTTAAGTGACAGGATCTTGGTCTGTTGCAGGAAGGTGTTGCACAAGCTGAATTTCTCTGTTCCTGAGGATGTGATCCAGAAGATTGCTCAGTGCTCCCCGGGAGTGGTGGAACTGGTGCTGATCCCGCTGCGGCAGAGGCTGGAGGAAAAAAAGCAAAGAAAACAGGGGGTTGGCTCATCTCAGGTCCATGCCCTGGACCCCGTCCTCTCTCCCACCCTCCTTCCGGGTTGCACAAGGCCTCCCCAGCCTTATATGTTGGCAGACTACAGGCTGCCTGTGAAATATGTTTTGAGGGTTAATCCTTTCCCACTTAAGGAAAGCCCCTTGCATATTTAGGGTGGGGGGCCCAGGGTGTCTGGAGTCAGCCTTAGGGGGTGGGGGTGGGGAATGGACTTTGCCTTGTGGCCCTGGTCTCAGGGGGTAGGGAGCCTCCAGGCCCTGAGTCCAAAGGCAAGTATCTGCGAGGGAGGGGTCGTCATGCTGCTCTGCCCAGGGCTCCTTGGGTGGGACTCTGTGTATGTTTCCCCATAGGAGCTGGATCTCCAGGAAGGCAGTAACTACATGGATATGGGTAAGGTCACTTCCCTTGTCATCCTGTCTCTTCTTCCCTAAATTGTGCCTGGCATCCCGGGCATGGTCCAACAACAGGCCGGGAGGCAAGAGATCTGAATTCTGGTCTTTAGCAGTGTCCCTGGCTCCTTAGGTGACTGTGGACAGGCCACTTGATCCCACGGGACCTCAGTTTGAGGGGGAGAAAGGGGGGATGAGAGAGAGGAACCAGCATGCCTGCATGTGGCCAGGCCTTTGCCCTCTGAGGAGAGGTCACATCCACAGGCTCTGCCTCATGGAGCCTTCATGCATCCTTTGTCTGTGATGGGTGTGGACAGGACAGGTCCCTACCCTCCTGGGCCTTCATTCTCAGGATGGAAATTCCTCCCCTCTGCCTCGAACCATCTGGGAATCTAGGCTCTGAGAGGAGGTGGGCCAGGGCTCTTATTTGCAGGGAATCTCTAGTCTGTCTGGACAGATGTGGTCCTTACCCTCGGGGATCCCAGGGCTGGTGAGGAATGATAATAATAAATCCCTAACATTTATATAGCACTAACAGTATACCAGGCACTGTGCTAAGCTCTTTACAGTTACTATATCATTCGATGCTCACAACAACTCTGGGAGGTAGGAACAATATCATCCCCATTTTACAGATAAGGAAACTGAGGCAGAGGTCAAATGACTGGGTCCAGTGACCAGATGTAGATCAGGATACCTGGAGTTGGCCCAGGATGCACTCTGTGTGTGTGTGTGTGTGTGTGTGTGTGTGTGTGTGTGTGTGTGTTCTGCAGCTCTTCCCCCTCCCCTCACCCCTTCCCAAAAGACCCTTATGGAGAAGAGCCTGCAGACTTCTGTCATTCAGCCTGTTTTTCCTCACACAGATTTCTCGCAGAAGACCCCAAGGGGTGGCACCATGGAGCCCTGGAAAGCCGGGCAGCTCAGGTAAAGGCTGCTCCTCCCGTGAGTGGTCACTTGTCTCCAGTTCAGGCAGCACATTGGGGATTTCTGCCCCAGGCTCCCCCAGCCTTGCCTCTGTATTAACCTGGACCTTCTGAGATGTCTGGGCTAGGGACGGATGGGGTGGCCGACGGAGAAGGGAGGGTATGAAGAGAGGGAAAAGGGTGAGGGGAAAAAGCTGGAGAGAACGGGACTGGAAGGAGGAATCAGGGTGCTGAAAGAAACTGGAGCGGGGGTGGGGGAGGAAGGGTGCGAGCCACCCAGTGGCTTCTTCAGGGTGAGTCATGCATGCATGCGTCTGAGGGGGACTGCCTCGGCTCCCCCAGGGGGGGCAAGCTTCTCCCTGCAGCTAGCCGGGCCATGCAGGGGGACCCAAACTTCGTAGTCCAGATGGCTGAGAAGGAGCAAGAGCTGTTGGCCTCCCAGGAGACTGTCCAGGTGAGCGTCTCTGACCCTCCATTCTTGTTTTTCATTCATCGGGTGTTTATTAAACACTTAGTGTTTGCAAGGTGTGCCAGATAGAAAAGTAGGCAAGGGCAGTCCCTGCCCTCAAGGAGCTTACAGTTTAGGAGGGAGGGGAAATTATGGGGAAAAGACACTTTTGGTTCAGGAGACAGCCTGGCATGATGGAATCTTTCTACAGATCTGGCCAAGTGGTATGAGAAATTGGAGGGGGGTTGTGGCAACTATGGGGAAACTAACAGAGGAGGGACTTAAGAGGCCTAGAGTCCCACCAGAAGTTCTCGTGTCTCACCCTCGTCCTAGTACATGGTATGTATGTGTGTCAACCATACAACACATGTGTACAGTACACAGACACACACATACACACTCATGTTCATTCCCAGAATTCCTCACCCTGAAGTGGTTCCCATTGGCTCAGCTGTGCCTCATAGCCAGCATCCCATGTCCCATCTCCACAACTTTGCACTGTCTGTCATCCACACGTACTCTGTCCTCACCTCTGCTTCTCAGAATCCCCTGCTTCCTTCAAAACCCAGGTCATGGGCCGCCTCCCCCATGAGGCCTTTCATGATCCCTACTTCCCCAACTGCCAATGTCCTCCCCCCTGAAATTACTCTGATTTTACTTCACACACATGTATATGTGCGCATATATATACATACACATACGGGTATTATGTGTCCATAAACACACACATATGTACAATTTACTTAAATATATATTGTTTCCTTCCCAAAAGAATGTAAACTCTTTGAGAGAAGGGACCTTTATGTTTTTGTCTTTGTTCTCCCAGTGTCTGATACAGAGTAAAAGTTAGTAAATGCTTGTCAAATGAATGGATGGATGGATGGATGGATGGATGGATGGATGGATGGATGGATGGATGGATGGATCAATGGATCAATGGATGAATGGATAAATGGATAAATGGATGGATGGATGAATGGATAAATGAATGGATGGAGAGATGGATGGATAAATGGATAAATGGATGGATGGATGGATGGATAGACAGATGGATGGATGAATGGATGGGTGGATAGATCAATGGATCGATGGATGAATGGATAAATGGATGGATAGATGAATGGATAAATGAATGGATGGAGAGATGTATGGATGGAGAGGTAAATGCATAGATGTATGTATGGATGGATGGATAGATATATAAATGGATAAATGAATGGATGGGTGGATGGATGAATAAATGGATAAATGGATGGATGGATGGATGGATGGACAGACGGACGGATGGATGGATGGATGGATGGACAGATGGATGATGAATGGCTTTGCTGGGCCCACTGTGAGGACGGGGTCCAAGCCCAGCTGGAGCTGCAGGGCCAGGGTTGGGGGGTGGACATCTTGCTGTCCTGGCCCTTCAGGTCCTTCAGATGAAGGTGCGACGCCTGGAACATCTGCTGCAGCTCAAAAATGTCCGCATTGATGACCTGAGTCGACGCCTTCAGCAGGCCCAGCGCAAGCCTCGGTGAGCGGAGCAAGGATGGAGGCCCTGTGCCAGTTCCCACTCCCCTTCTAGCCTCCCTTCCTGGAAGTGCCTCTACTGACTGCGTGTCCAGGCCCAGCTGGACAGACTGACCTCGGGTCCTGGAATCCTGACCCCTTGGGAGTTTCTGCCCTGATCATAGGCAGTGAGCGACAACCACAAAGGCTTGGGCTGCCCGCGTGGCACCTCGGAGCCTGGGGGGGGAGGCCCCTGAGAGGTACCCAAACAGAACTCCCAAGTCAGGATCTCTTCCTTCCCTCTGGGTCAGGAAGGACGTTGGGAGCGCTGGAGGTGGGGCTGGCCCAGCTGCCGCTGGACCAGAGCTATGCTGGTATGGGGGGTGCTGAGTGTCACAAAAGAGGGTGGGGAAGCGGGTCAGGGGCTTGGGTGGCTGGGGAACCAGCCCTTTCGCCTATGCCTGGCATCTTTCCTTGTTCTGGACTCAGCCTCCTCCTCCCCCTGGGCCAGGCAAAAGAGGTATCCCTTGGAACCTGAACCCAGAACCCAGACATCTTCCCTGCTTCCTGAAATCCTGGTCACAGGGGCTGCAGAGTGCTCTATGGGGCACCCTTCTACCCTCCACATGCTCTGGGAGAACATGGCCCTGGCCCTCATTTCCAGTCGCACCCCCTGCAAGGCCTGTAACTGGGCACCATCGACCAGCGCTTTGAGCCATCTTGTCCCGAGCCAGAGGGGCATGTGCCAGGCTTCTTCTCGTCCTCCCCTTGCCCTTGGCCAGCCCCACCACCACAGCAAGGCGGAGCCGGTCCCGTGTGCCCACTTGTCGGCCAGGAGCACCAGGGCAGGCCAGGGCTTCCTGAGGCCAGGACATCAAGGACAGAGGTCAGGGAAGACACAGGCTGCCTGACTTTGGCCCCCCGCCTTAGCCTGGAGCAGCCCTTCTCAGTCCTGGGAAGCAGAGGCCTCGGGTCTTTGGTCCTTCCGTCGTCGCTAAGATCCCCCAGGAAAAAGGGCTGGGTTTGAGAAAGATGCTGGGGCAAGAAAGCTGGAACACTCCCCCCAATAAATACGTATCATTCTCATGGTCTGCTGGTTGATCCTGGTCTCTGCTTTTTGGGCTCCTGGCTCGGTGGAATGCCTGCTTCCTCCGTCTTTCCCTGCTTCTTTTGAACAGTCATCTTGATGCCCTATGGGACGTGGTAGTTCAAAGGCCAGCCCTGTTAGAATCTGGATGGCTTAACCAGAGTCCCTGTGTCCAGGCTGGTGAGGTCAGGGGTTAGAGGCCAGCATTATTGCCAGAGGTCCGGTAGTGGGGCTCATTATCCATCTAGGCTATAGGCTTCATGTAGAGAAAAGCTGTTCCCCAGCCACAGATTGAACCCTGATGGACCAAAGGCTGAACTTCTACCTAAACCTGCTCAAAGATGGACCCGAAACTTGGACCATCTTAACCCTGGTTAAAGACAAATCTTTCTAACTTTTGCAAGAAATTATTCCCCAAGCCCTGACCAAAAACCAGCTCCTGACCCTGGGTCACTGACTGGCCCCTGGCCGTGGTCCTAGATTGACCTCTAGGACTCCATGGGGGGTTTAACTGCTAGCTCTCAGCACATTCTGGCTACCCAACCTGGCCGCCAAGTTCTTCTAGGACAGAGGGCAGCAGTAAATAGCCTTGTGTCTCTACAAGAAGCATGGGACTTGGAGGAAGAGCAGAAATCAGGAAACCAAACAGGGGAGGTGGGGTGTCTATGCCCATCAGTTCCCCTCTTCCATTCCTGATGAAAACCATCCTTCCCCCTGGCCAAGTCTTCTTGGAGACATGATCAGTACTCCTTCAGAATGTTGCTTTTGTCTGACGTGACAGTACTTTAACTCATCTGGCTGAAAGCATCACCTTCAAGCGTCTGTTTCCCAGAACTGTCCTGGGTTTGAGTTGCTAATTTAAGAGGCTAGAAAAATGATTGCTTTCTCCCATCCATTCCCCAACATTTAGCAGCAAATGCTTTCTAAATGGATGTCTATGTGGTAAGTCAGTCAACAATCATTTATTAAACCTTTACCATGTACCAGGCACTATGCTAAGCATTAAGGGTACAAAGAAATGCACAAACAATCCCTGTTCACATCTAATGAGGGAGACAGCCTACATACAAGATATATATGGGGTCAATTGGGGTAGTCTTAGGGAAGGCACTGGCATTGAGGGAGACCAACACACAACTTACTTATCCAACAAGGGGTTGTTGAAGGATAAGAGAAGAGCTAGCCAGGTTCCAAGGTGATTAAGGAGGATGCTAAAATACCACTGCCTCTGATGTTTTTCATGGACTCCAGATGAATCCTCATATTTCCCCACTGAAAGGGACCTCCCACATCTGTGGAGGTTAAACATTAGGATTTGAGATTGAGCTGTTCTTGCATAACTATATATAGAAAAAGGCTCCATTCTGACGTAGTCAGTCCAAAAGCATTTTTATGAAGTACATCCTATATGCCAGGCAGAATATAAGTCACAAGAAAGATGGTCCCTGTCCCCAAGAAGCTTACATTCTAATGGGGGAAGAAGACCCACAAAAGACATCTGAGAAGCTGGCTGGGTAGAGAAGTGGCCTAGGGCATCCTGAACTGAGCTGGGTCTGAATTGAGCGTGCCTTCTGAGCTCCTATTGGTCTGATCAGCCACAGGCAGACACACCATGCCTTGACTGCAACAAAATGATGCCATTTTGGTCCTCTTCTAGAACAAAGGAGAGCATAAGCAACCTAGTGCACATTATATACATTATCTAATTTGATCCTCACAACAACCTTGGGAGATAGGTGATTCGTTATCCTCATTTTACAGTTGAGCAAACTGAGGCTGGCTGCAGTTAAGCGATTTGCCCAGGGTCACACTGGTAGTAAGCGAGGCCAGATTTGAATTCGTGTTTGTCCTCATTGAAGGCATCTGACAACATTGCTGAAAACATAATGCTAAAAATAAAAAGCAGGGAGCAAGCTCACAGCCGTGTTTCACATCATTGGTGACTGGAAAAGCTCGAGAGCATGGTCCGTTATCTAGAACCTGGGCAAGCATACTGTTGTGAAATTGATGTACCATCCTGATGAACTTCTCTGGGCAACCAAATTTATTTATTTATTTATTTATTTGCTCTTTCTTCTTTTTTTTCTTCTGGTTTCTTTTTTTTTTTTTTTTGGCTAGGCAATGGGGTTAAGTGACTTGCCCAGGGTCACACAGCTAAGTAAGTGTTATGTGTGTGAGGCCAGATTTGAACTCAGGTCCTCCTGACTCCAGGGCCGGTGCTCTACCCGCTGTACCACCTAGCTGCCGCCGGCAACCAAATTTAGACATAATTTTCCATAAGCCTTCACGAATGAGGGATCATGACTCAAGATCTTGGTCAGATTGATGAATGTCGTGTACAGACCCCTGTTCTAGCCCTGGCATTGTCCCTGAAGTTGTCGGGCAGCAAACACCCTGTCAACCGGTTGTTTCTTGGCCCTTTCTGAAGCCACACTGGCTCTCAGGTAGATGATCATCGTCCAGGTGAAAGACCAGCCTGTTAAGGAGGAATCTGGCAAGAATCTTGCTACTAATGACTAAGAGAGAGCTGTCCCTGTGATTATCATAGGACAAACTATTTCCTTTTCCTTTAGAGATGGACAGTGGAGGCGTCCTTGAACTCCTGAGGTCTAACCTCCTCTGGCAATGTAATGTGGAAAATTTCAGTCAGCTTTTGTACGAGCAATGGACCCCCTACCTTGTAAATCTCAGCTGGAATAGAATCAGCACCAGGCATTTTGCCACAGGAGAAGAGTCTAATGGCGTTCAAAACCTCTTCTTCAGGTTTTTAGAAATTTGGCTAGAGAAGGATTGACTTCAACCTCAGGTTGAAGTCAATGGCTTCAGCATTGATTGATGAGGGAGTGTTCCGCCCGTCTCTCCAGGATCATGTCCTTATCGCTAATCAATGTGGCTCCATCAGTGCTGAGTAGTTGAGATGCACCATAGGTCTTCGGCCCATAAATAGCCTTCAGGGCATCATAAAAGCGCTTTGGATTGTTACTATCAGCCTAAAACTGAATCTCATCTGCCTTCTTAGTGAGCCAAGAATCCTGCATCTCTCTAAGCTTGGCTTGTACTTTACTTTTGTTGTTGTTTTTTTATTTAATTTTGTTTTTGTACTTCACTTTTGATGCAGTTAAATGCTGCCTTCTTAGAGATGGATGACTTAACCTGCTGGTAAACCCTGTGGAGTTCTGGTTTTTCATTTAGCAGCTTCAGAATTTCCCCATCATTGTCATTAAACCAATCTTGATGTTTTCGAGTGTCCTGGCCCAGAAGAGTAAATGCAGTGCTGTATATCAAATCTCTGAGAGCTGCCCACTCCTTTTCTGCTCCACTGTTGCCAACCTTTGTTGGCTCAGCTTTCCCTCCAAGTTAGCAACAAACTGTTCCCTATTAGAGAAGTTGTCCAAATTATTGACATTAAGTCTTCTGGCAGTCATCTTGCCTTGGGGCTAAAGCTTTTGTTGAATGCAAGTGTTTAGCTTAGAGAGGATAAGTCTATGATCAGTCCAGCACTCTGTATAGCACATTGGCTTTGTCACTCTCACATCCTGTCTGTCTCTTCTTATAGTGACACAGTCCTATTAAATGCCAGTGTTTGCTTCTAGGGTACACACACCAAGTTTTATTGCACTTAGGTAAACAGAAGTGATGAGAAAGTCATGAGATGCACAAGTCTTCCATAGTAAGTGATCATTGCTCATGCTGTTTCCGACTCTATTATGGTAGTCTGTGCCTGCTCTAGCATTAAAGTCACCCAGAATTATAAGCTTGTCCTCTTTTGGCACACTGATGATGAGGGTTTCCAGGTCTTCATAAAAATTGTCTTTGACTTCATCAGGGTTCATTATGGTGGGAGCATAGGCACTGATCATGGTGTCATGGTGCTTTCCTGTGAGTGGCAATCACATTGTCTTCTGGTACTTTTGGTAGGCATACAAGCTTGTTGACTAGATTAGTTTTGATTGCAAAACCTACACCAGCTTTATGGAGTTCCCCTTCACTGCAGCCACTCCAGAAAATCTCGTGTCCAGCTCCGAGTTTGGGTAAGCTGATTTTCATTATTCAGGGCTGCTATCCGGGTGTGATACCTGCCGAATTCTCTAGAATCAAGAGCTGTTCGTTCAGGTCTATTGGATTTTGTGCTGTCTATAAGTGTGAGCACATTCCATGTACTGATGGTGAATAGAATCATCTTTACAGAAATTTTTGTACTTTTTTTTGTGTGTGTGTTTTGACTATAGAGTGAGATCCCTGCCTGTTGTGCTAAACAGGCCAGGGTTGGGTAAAGTAGATACTTTTTAGGGCACATTTTCTAGTCTCTTTCTCACACCAGGAGGTGAACAGCTTGAAAAGCTACTCAGACTGCCTGATCCCACTGCTGCTTCCCCTGAGAAGAGTATAGAAGACTATAGTAGGTACTTAAAAAGTACTTGTTCTCTTCCTGCCTTCAATGGGCTTATATTCTAATGGGAGAAATTGTACGTAGACCAGGCAGGGCTGAAATGTTACAGGGATAGCGAGTGGGCTACA